AGCTCTGTTTTTCCCCATGTTCTCCTCTCATTTCATCAAATACTAACGTCCCATTTGATCAGTCACACATCACACCACTGCCTACTACTTCGTAAGCCAAGTAGCCTGAACTGTTGGTCACTTGCAGTTGGGAGCCAGCAAGAGTATGACTGAAAAATGTCTTGTGCATGTTGCGTGTTTTTACTCATCAATTTTTATCACCAATTTGTGTATAAGTTAGAAACCTAACTGTGCCAGAGAATAAAAACAAGAGTAAATAATGGAACAGTTACAGAAACGTGACTTTTTGTAAAACAACTAAGTCCAAAACATCACTGTTTCTTTTCAGGCTGCGGTTGTGGTTTATTTCATGTGTCACATCTTTCTTCTTTGAAATGCTCTTTAGCAGATTTCTGGGTGCATGCTTTTATTTTGATCTATTTTAATAGAGTACTCTTGGGAATATTAAAAAGTTTATGTGTAATACAAGCAAAATATATCCCAATTATCTTATCAAATAAAAAGGTTTAAACTCTTTGCTTCTATTATCAACAGCTGTCATAACGCCTATTTTCCCATTCCACAAACAACTTCTGTGTAAGACAGAGCCCAGGCAGGAAAAAGATAGTAAACTTAACCTGAGTAATCTGAGGGGTTTACTGAAGAGATTCTGGGAATGTGTGGGCAGGAGTTAGGGAAACTCAACATGGTGGCCTGCAATACCCAGGTCTAGGCCAGTGTAAGCTACACCCAAAGGGGCATAAGATGGGAGCCGTTGCCAGAAGTTAAAAAGGGTGATTGTAAGGCAAGGGCTGCTTGATAGAGTGTCTGACATTTAATAGCGGGTAACAGCCGACCCTCAAGGAGAGAGCCAGGGGAACTGGTACCCTGAACACACTCTCCTGCTCTCTGCTATTCCACATGCTCTGTACCGAACCAAACGTCTGGGGCCACACAGGACCGCTATGCCCGGAGGTAGAGGGCAGTCTGCAGATGGTGGAGAGTGGACCAGGAAGCCAAGAAAACAACACCCAGTACACACTCTATAAGTGAACTTGACTGCCATGATTAACTCCTTCAGAAATCACTGATAAAACATTTGCACAAAGAAAGTGGTAAGTGTGTAATTGTCTTATTGTGAGTCACTGATGCATCATTGGTTCTCATCTTTCTGAGCTTATTTCTCCCTTCTATATGCTGTCAGGAAAGACACCCACATTCAATTTCAGGCAGTCCATTATCTTTAAAAACGAGCCTTTAAGATTCATCCATCTGCATTGTAGGTTGATGCTCAGATGAGAATGAACAACTCTGATACTGAGGGTGAGAAGGAGGGTGTGATGGCATAGAAACATTCAGAATTACTAAAATTGTGCATACAGCACAGCACAAGCCCAAGCTGCTGACTGTCAGAGACAACGGTGCTAAGGAAATTAACTTAAATAATAGCTCTGCAACATACTCTCAACCTCTACCACAGGGCCAGCTCCACTGTTCACAGGGCAGCTTTAAGTCTATATGAACCCACATGTTTAAGGGAATTCAAGTGTAGAGAAAGAGGAGGTTGGACAATGCAGCGCATTGTTCAGTTTATTCAGGAATAAAATTTGTGAAATGCCTTCCTTTGCTGATAAGTATGACTTTAGATACCACCATCAAATCTCAGATCCACACCAGAATCTTAATAGTTCATTCATTCATCCATGTATTTATTCTTTCAGTTATTAGTTCAAATATTAACAGTTCCAGGCATTGTGCTAGACACATGAGGGATACACCAGGAAAAGACACTTACGTATGGCAGAAAAGAGAAAAGATTACAGGGCAATAAATGTTATCAAAGGAAAGGTGTGATGACCTATATAACTGAATAACAAATACTTTTCAACTCAGTCTATGGGTCAGAGAAAGCCTTCTGAAGAGATGCCTCTTATTCCAAAAATGACGAAGAAATTAGCAGAGGGGAAAGAATGGAAGAAGCCCTCCAGGCACAGAGAACCACACTGTATAAGTCAATAGTCCAGAGAAAGCAGAAAGGTGTCCATTAGAGCTGGAATTCCCTCCTCCAGGGGATTTCTGATTCTTGGCTCAGTTTAATTGGAGGCTGCGGGCTCAGGGTTAGAGCTGGATTCTGGCCTCCATTGCTGTCCTCAGTTCAGCACTTAGGACAGTGATGGCAAACCTATGACACACATGTCAGAGGTGACACGGGAACTCATTTTTTAGTTGATTTTTCTTTTTTGTTTGATTTATTTTTTTGGTTGATTTATTTTATATAAAATAAATATCAAAAATATAAGTCTTTGTTTTACTATGGTTGCAAATATCAAAAAATTTCTATATGTGACACGGCACCAGAGTTAAGTTAGGGTTTTTCAAAATGCTGACACGCCGAGCTCAAAAGGTTCGCCATCACTGACTTAGGAGTTACACCTTAGGGCTGAAAAGTGAAAGTTTAGGTAACTCTCAAATAGCTTAAGACTCCAATTTAGGAGAGTCAAGCTTCAGAACTCATGTATTGGGTCTTTGGCTCTGGGAGTTTTGTTCTCAAGCTTTAGGAGCTACACAATTCAAGGTCCCAAGTTCAGAAAAATTAAGGATAAATCTAGGGTTGCTGAGAACTGAGTCCTGAGGGATCTAGACTTGAGGCAACTCTGGGGAGCCATGGGAAATATTGGGAGGAGCATAGCTTAGAAGAAAAACACTCTTTATTGGGAATCCTGGCTCTGCCACCTACAAATTGTGTGATCTCTCTGAGCCTCAGATTTCTTAGTTAATCAGTGGATGTATGAGGCAGGGAAGGGGGAGCAGTTCCTTTACATGGTTACGATGAAATTGGTGATCTGTGAAATTCAACTTAAAGTAATACCATCTCTCACCTATTATGGATTTCAAATCCTTCTTAATCATAATTGTCCAATGCTTTCCAGTTTTAAGATGTTCTGCTTAATAAGCAAAATGAAAGCTAAGTAGCTATTAAATAGCTTCTCTTTCCCCGATGCCATCTCTTGCATTTGTACCATGTGCCCAAACAACCGATTGATCCTCCCTTTTGTTGTTGTTTTTCCTTGCTCTGTACATCAATATGGCTAAAAAGGCATTTTCATTGCCTTAGTCACACTTGCAGCCGGCGGGCCACATGCGAATTTGACATGCTTGCTAGTGTGTGCGTGTGTGTGTGTGTGTGTGTAACTTTCAGTATATTTAGTGTTTCCTCCTTGCTAGCACTGTTCTTAAACTGTTTTCCATTCTTTTCTCTTCCCTCTTCATTCCTTGATTGTGTATTTCCCTGTTGCATTTGTATAAATGGGCTCTTAAAACCTGAACTCATGTTCATATTCTAGTACCAAGTCCAAGGCCAGGCACAAAATGTCTTATGAATCTGCAAATGGATGAATAAGTAATAGAAATAAAAGAGCATGAAAACAAAAATGAATGGAGAGCATCCTGTTTTGTCACATTTTTTAGGAGTTTCCCAACTATTTCATTCCATATCAAGAACCTATTTTTTTTACTATACAGTTAGAATGTCACTTGCAATCAATAACCAAACGTGTACCGACCACACTACACAAACTACCTCTGGCGTCAGAGAGTTATTTTTTAAATAAGTGTATCCTGTATTTATGAAGTGTCGGGTTCAGAACAAGTTACCCCAAGATGTGCCCCAGTGGTATGTGGATTGTTTTGAGCTAAAGGTAACTGAGACACTGCAGGCTCAAGAGAAACTTCTGCCCCCTGCCTCAACCATCTAGAAGAATTGAAATTAGAAGCCTGGCCCATGATAAGAGTTATCACCAGAAATGGCTTTTTTAACCAATCTGTGGCAGGGAAAACGAATTCCTGAACAAGTGCTTTCCCTGCTGGGACCTTCTGAACCCCAAGGCACCTTACTCACCGCACACTCTGTGTGTCTTATCAACCCATGTTCCCTTTCTGGTTCTGGACCCCTGGTGCATGTGGGGTCTTTGGCTCTCTCACATATGTGGGGCTCTCATACAGATGTATGTATTAAATTTGGTTATTTTCTCCTGGTAATCTGTCTCATGTCTATTTGATTATATGACCAGACATAAGAACCTTGAGGGCAGAGGAAAGTTTGTTTGGCCCCCACAGGGGTAAACATAACTCTTCATAATGTTCCTGCATCATTGAGGCAGCTGAGGGGAATGGAGACAGACCACCCTGTAGATGTAAGTCTATGCATTCAGAATTTCTCCTATCGGAGGGATACAATCTCATTAAGAACACACCTGTTTTTAGATAATGGGAATAAAAGAATTTTATATTTCAATATGAAAATGGTCACAAGACTAAATCACCCAATTTTTACATGCTCATTTGATACAACTAAAATCTTTCAATAATTCACAAGGCCCACTTTTAAATGGGCTGATACCTTTGAAATAAAGGGCAAAGGGTTCAAACATATCATAAGTAGTAAATGTTGCCCAATGACTTTCAAAATTCATCTGTATCCTATAAAGTTGACCTTTATACCATTCCTAGCATCATAATGTCAGACATCTTTAAACTACACAACTTTTTTTCCTCATCCAGTGCACAAATTCAGACATTTCTATCCAATACCCCAGGTTCACAGTGGTTAAAAACACAGATGCCGGAGTAACAATACGTGATTCCAGTTCTGGCCATTTGTTGACTCTCTGGCTTCATCCAAATAAGGAATATAATGCTTCTATTTCACGGGATTGGTGGGAGGTTACAACATTCTGTGTATTTTTTTGTAAAGTATTATTTATGACCCTGGTGTAATACTTAGTGCTTAATTAAATTATCTTCTTAACAACCTTATGCAGTACATACCTCTTATTATTCTTATTGTGGTAAAGATAATGTAAAACATTTGGTACTTGACAATAGTTAAGTATTCAATAAATAGTCGTAATTGTTATTATGCTATTATTTAATTTTTACTGTAGTTGGTGACGTTGGCTTTGTTACTTCCACTTCACATATGAGAAAAAAAATGTTTGAGGATTGACTCGAAACAGGGATGGTATACATAAAGAAAGGTGTTATTTTTCTAATACAGCTGGAAAAAAGCTAATATTGAATACTTTAAAAAAAAGAACTCTCTACAATGCCTAGGACTAGTTATGGTATATAGAAAATTCTTAAGTTCATACTTGTACCAAATTGTAAAACAAGATTGTAGACTTAGAACTG